AACACACACACTAACACACTCACTAACACACACACTCTAACTCTAACACACACACTAACACACTCTAACACACACACATTTTTTTTTAAATTTAATCCCCCAGCCTCCTTACCTTTTGGAGAGCTGAGGGGATTACCTGGGGTCTAGTGGTATCACCGGGCGGGCGCGCGAGGGAGCACTCTCCCCTGAGTGCTTTGTCTTCAGCTCCCTCGCGCACCGCGTACGGTTGCCAAGCCGGAAGATGATGTTATCTTCCGACTCCAGTATCAGTGCGGAGTGCTCCCCCGCGTGCGCGCCAGTCCGGTGATACCATGGCCAGCCTCGGGGGGCCCTGGGATGGCCGGCTACTGGGCCCCCGAGGGGAAGAGGCTGGCCACAGTGGCATACGTACCAGGTCGCAGGGCCCGGTCACAGCCGCGACCCCTGCGACCCAGGTATGTACGCCACTGCCCCCTTCTACCCACTGCTTTTTCCTGCACAGCATCTTTGGCGTGGCTTGTGGGAAAGCCAAGCCTCCTGCACTCAGTAGCAATTTATAATTTAGCAAGAAACGTCATACATGGTTTGTTTTCATTAAACATTTGTGAATAGGATTGTTTTATAGCACTCTCTAACAGTTCTGTCAAATATCTAGAACATAAGGAAAATCTATTTTTAAATTATAGATCTATAATGTTGATCTATGTTCTAGTGATATTTAAAGAGACACTATAGTCACCAGAACAACTGCAGCTTATTGAATTTGTTCTGGTAAGTAGAATCATTACCTTCAGGTTTTCTACTGTAAACTCTGTCTTTTCAGAGAAAATGCAGTGTTTACATTACAGCCTAGTGATAACTTCACTGGCCACTCCTCAGATGGCTTTTAGAGATCCTTCCTGGGTCATGGCATTGTATAGGCTAAAATAAGCACGGGGCGGGGCCAAATGCTGTTTTGGCCAATCAGGACCTCCTCATAGAGATGCATTGAATTAATGCATCTCTATGAGGAAAATTGAAGATTATGCTAGCGCAGTGTACTAATAATCTTAATTTTAATAATGACAGGAGGCAAGTATTTTGCATAAACTTTCTTTACTAACTCCATAGCAGCAAAGAAAAAAACAGTAAAACCAAAGAACCAATCAGAGTGAGTCAGAGTATATATAAGTCCAGGCATAGTCAATCATTTCCTCTTGGTTAATGCAACATCTCAAGTTCCAATGTAACAGATAACGTGTCCGATCCAACTAGAAAACGATAATGGAATTAAGCCTTCCCAGTAATCCATACGACTTGTTAAACTGAAAGGAAAGATAAAGTAGTATCAGTGATATGGAATGGACTGTATGAAACATATGTTTTATGAGTATTTATATAAACGCTTTAATGATTTTGATTATCTATCGGTTATTATCTTCTAACGTCCATCTACCGTATTATTTACCCTCACAGTCTATATGTAGAAATTCGTACCCGCACTTAGGGTTTAATTTGGTAACAATCACATATTCCCTTAAATCTAACTTACCTGAGACGAGGGTGGGAACATCAAGAAGAAGAATGGGAGGGAAAATACTCGCCTCCTCTCATTATTAAAATAAAGATTATTAGTACACTGCTCTAGCATAATCTTCAATTTTATAACATGACAGGAGGCCTCGTATTTTGCAATTTTAACGCTTAGGAAAAAGAGAAAATGCTGCATTAGAAGACTGGCGGAAATAGAACGTCCAGAAGGTCGATTCTCGGGACCTGACTGCCGCTTGTAAGATATCCGATGGCGACGTGCCTGCTAAAAAAGCTGACGACGCTGCTGCTCCTCTCACGAAGTGAGCTCCGAAGGACGGGTCCACTCCTGCAAGGGTGAGGAGCCATCTAATACATCTGGATAATGTAGTGGTCGAGACTGGACCGTGACATATTAACAATATGAAATCAATAATTGTCAGGAGGTTGGCCGACGTAGTGTTTCCGTTGCCGCCATGTATGTTCTCAAAGCCCTAACTACACGTAGTTGGGGTTCTGATGTGAAGAACGGGTAGAAAATTGATGTTGAGTCGGTTTTGGTTCGTCTTGAGATTGGGAATGTGACCCCTTCCGGGCTGATAGTAAATGTGTCTGAGTCGAAAGCTCATATGTCTGAGACTCGACGAAATGAGACTAGGCACAGTAAGAAGGTAAATTTCGCTAACAGTTGTCTTAAAGATAGTCATTCATTCTGAGGCCATTCCTTTAGGAATGTAATTACCTTCTCCACATCCCAGAGGTGTTGGTATTTGGATGCTGGGGGGGGGTCTCAACTCGATGCCCCGTAGTAACCGGCAAATGAAAGGGTCTTGAACGATTGCTCTCCCTTGGGATGGAACGTGGGCTGCTGATATAGCCGATCTTATGACATTGATGGTGCGGTATGATTTACCTTCTTCGAAGATGGGAGAAAGGAAATTCATTATCTCGGAAACAGGTGCTGTAAAGGGATCCAAGTCCCATCCCACACACAAACTGTTCCAAGTTCTCCATGCAGATAAGTAACTCTTTCTAGTCCCTGGGGCCCATGATTCCCACAGCAGGTCCTTAGTTGTAGATGATAGTTCGTGGGTGTCCCATGCACCCCTGAAAGAGTCCAGGCTACCAGGGTTAATCGGTCGTCCAGAAGCATGGGATGTGGGTTCCCTGCTGGGTCCCTGAGTAGATATGGGTCGGTCGGCAGGAGGATTGGATCTTTGCACGATA